TCTGGCACCAACTGTAAGGCTATATGTCATTTTTTTTGTATCCTAAATCTTTGTATGTGACTGCCAAACCCCATGTGACTGTTGGTTCTTTGTAATGTATAAGAACCCTCTGAATTTTATAATAAATGGCTTGCTTGTGTGAAGGAAAATGCAAGTCCTGAAGTCATCATTACTCTGTCGCTGATCAAGTGTCTCTGCCCCAGAAGCAAGGTTCCCTGCTGAGAAAAGCAAACCTGAGTCCCAATACTAGCATCGTTTGAATAACCTAATTTTTTCCACATCTTTGTTAGCAGCTGTTGTATCAATGGTCTTAATTTTAGCTATTCTGGTAGGTGTGTGCCAATATTTCATTGTGATTTTTACTTGTATTTCTCTTTTAGATAATGATATTAAATATCATTTAAAATGTAATATTTTTATTACTTCTTTGAGAATGTTATACACGCATACAATAGATTTTTAACCACCTTTACCACCTGCTCCTCCCCCTAACTCTACCCTTTACCCCAACTTGGTTTGCTGCTTTTTTAAAATACACAGAATTGGATTTGTGTTACCCATAAATTCATAGATATGGGGTCATCCACTGGATCATAGTTGACCTACTAGGTACCACACCTTAAAGAACTGACTTTCCCTCCTGTAGAAGCTACCAACTGTCCGTAGCAGCTTAGTTATGGGTGGGAGCTAATGAACGCCTTTTTCTTCCATGTTGGAATGTGGACTGCTTTGGATTTCTGGCTTTTACAACTTCCCTACCTTCTTTTGACTTCTACAATGGCCTCTGAGCTTTGGTGTGTGTGTGTGTGTGTGTGTGTGTGTGTGTGTGTGTGTGTGTAGTGTGGTGTGTGTGAGAGAGAGGTTCCATTTGTGACTGGACACTCCACAGACACTGATTTTGTTTACACTTTGACTAATTCTGAGTATCTATGTTAACTGTAGCTCACTGCACAAAGAAACTTCTCTGATGAGGTCTGAGAGCTGCACTAATCCATGGGTATAGAGGTTTATGGGTATATAATCTATGGTTATAAAATTCTAGAGGGCAGTTTGATACTATGTCCACTTAGTAAAGTAATTGTAGTAGGTTAACCCCTGGGGTCTATGAGCTCTTCAACCATGGGTTCTTGTGAAGATTTATAGTACCAGGCATGCATTTACTCCCATGGAACTGGTCTTGAATCCAATCAGAAAGCAGTTGGTTGGCCCGGTAACCTTCTTGCCAGTATTGTAGCCACTTGGGTTTTTTTTAAAGAAAAAACTTACTTTTATTGTCCTGGCTTTTGACTAATGTTCTTTTATGTCTAGAGGTTTTTAAAATAACTTTATCTGTTTCATTTCTAGATATGACAGCCCGTGTCTTTGTTTTTCCTTGTTTTGCTAGAAGGTCCCAAATTTTACTTGTCTTTTTAAAGAACCAACTCTGTTTCATTGATTATTCTTGTACTGATTTATGTTTGTAACTGTATTTGTTTCTATCTAATCTTTATTATTTCCTCCTGTAGACTTGCTTTAGGTTATTTTTTTCTCTTGTTTTTCCAAGTTTTTCAGCTGGGAGCTTGGATTATTGCTGCTTTTTTTCTAATATTTGCACTTAATGTTATGAGTTTTTCCTCAGTAATGCTTTCAATATGTTCAACAAATTTTGGTGTTGTATTTTTATTTGCATTGAGTTCAATGCATTATTGATTTCTCCTGAGACACATTCTTTGATCCTTGGAGTATTAATACATGTGTTATTTAGTTTCTGAATATTTGAATATTTTCATTTTATTTTTCTGTTATTTGTAGTTATAGTCTATTGAAATTGGCTATCACACTTTTTAGGCTTTCAAATCTTTTATTTTAAATTTGTTAATATTTTTTTCTAGCCATAATATAGTCTGTGTAGCTAACATTTTTTCTTTCTTTTCTCTTCTTATTTTTTTTGCTTCAGTGACAAATATCTAAGAGAATTATGGGGCTAGAGAGATGGCTCAGTGGTTAAGAACACAGACTGTTCAGACTGTTCTTTCAGAAGACCTAGGTTTGAATCTCAGCACCTACATGGTAGCTAATGACTGTCTGTAGCTCCAGTTCCAGGGGATCCAACAACCTCTTCTGTCCTCCGTGGACATTGCATGACATGGGTGCACTTATTTACATGTAAGCATAATACTCATACATGTAAAATAAAAGCAATAAATAAAAAGAGGAGAGATTTATTTTGGCTCATGATTTCAGAGGTGTTAGTTCGTGGTTGAAGAGCTGTACTGTTTTTAGTCCAATGACTATGCAGACTCGTGGAGGAAGGGTAGGTGGAGGGAAGCCGTAATGGTTACCCCTTCCTCGAGTTCTACTGATAAACCAATGTTTGATTACGTTAAAGTTCACCCTGGGGGATTAGTGAATTTATTGAGCTTATTTACAAGCATAGATGAGGGATTACTGGCAGGTGCATGGATGAGCAGAACTGGAAAGTTTTCACCTGGTATGGATGATAATTTCCTCGGAGCCTCATGGGTGGACCTGCTTTTTCTTAGCCTTCTTCATCACACACGTACTTTATTTCCTCCACAAGGCCACGAGCCCACCTGCAATTAGGGTATAACTGTATACAGCTGGCTGGAAGTAACGGCTGGATACTCAGGTGCTGGTCTAATGATACTGATTTCCTCTTTTTTTTTTTTTTTTAATGAAGGAACTTCTATAGTCAACAAGCCCAATTGTGATGATCTATTGCAAGCAGGTACAGCTGAAATTAGGGAGATGGCAGTTCTTTGGCTTAGGAAACAGTGCTGCGCAACATCATCCTATTAAAGAATGTTGAATCAAAACTACACGTAAGATAATGTAATAAATTAACATTACCTGTGTGTTACTTGGTCTTTGTAAAGATTGAAATTCCTTGTCACAAACCAAGTTTTACGGCATTTGAAAAATAGCCTAATATTTAATGTTTCTTACATGTAACTTCAGGTGTTATTTAAACCTTTTTGAAATTCCTCTTTAAAATCTATTTCTCAGAAGCCATTGATGATTTCATTTGTGAGGTCTAAAAGATATTTTTTAAGTGCATCATCTAGACATATGCTTTCAAGTGTCAGTATAATCTGCACACAGATCAGGCTAAAATGCAGACTGTAACTGAGGCATTCAGGGTAGGGCCTGAGATGAACTCCCAGAATGTCAGTACTGCTCACTGTCAGAGTAGACACCCTGTTCTGTGGAGAGCCGTAGGCCCCCACCCCAGAATATAGCAAGACCTGTTTCCTGGCAAAGCTGTTTTTCAGACATCAAGGCTGGCCTGGTTTGAGATTAACCAGATGACTATACTTGAAAGCCTCACACAAACATGTTGTTCTAACTCGGGCACTTACCGCTTGAGAGACTCCCTCATTTCTCATGAACTGCCTAAGAAACTTTTGCATTACTTTGTAATCATACAAGTGTAACCTCTTAATTGATTTATAACTTGCTATATAGAATTGTGGTGTTACTATGGAATTTACCCTGTGATCAGTTGGTGTGGTGTAATCATAATAATTGTTTTGTTAATAGAATTGCTCTGCCTCAATGAATTTATCCCTGCCAACTTCCCCCTTTTCCCTCACTATAAAAACTTTGGGTAGATGTTCAATAAATGAGACTTGATCAGAAAGCCTGTCTTGTCTCCATTCTTCGCGTCACTTGTCCCTTTCCGTCCCCTCTCCTCTCTCCAGGTACCCACGTTGACTGTCCTGCGGGTCGGGACACTGTTCGGTCTTCCTTACTCATTCATTTTGGGAAGCAAGATATAGGCAGTGTGGTGGTTAGCTTTAAATGTCAATTTGGCACAATCTAGAATCACTTGGGAAGAGTGTCTCAGGAGGCATTGTCTACACTGAGATTGCCTGTGGGCATGTCTGTGGGGAAATTGTCTTGATTAACTGCCATAGCTGATGTGGTTAGAGCTTTTCTAAATGTGGCTGCCCATTCGGCCACAGAAAAAGGAAAGCTTCTTGCTGTTTTTTCCTTGACTGTCATTCTCAATGGTGTGTTGCATCTTACCTGCTACTGTGTGATTTCTCCATTGATGTTAGATCAGCTTCTTCCCAGTCTGGTGGACCAAGCAATCACTGGGTTCCTGGTCTCTGCAGTGTGAGACAGCCATTGTTGGATTACTCAGATCCTATCATGTAAGCTGATTTATTAAATCCCCTTTTAAATATGTGATCATTTTGTTGGTTCTGTTTCCCTAGAGAACCCTTACTTACATTGGCAGGCTAACTAGAAGTAGGCATATTATCACTAAGGTACATATTTGACATTTTCTGGTTTGTCTCAGGTTGGACAAATTTCTAAACCTCATGCTAAATGAAAGAACTTATACCCCAAAAGCCACGTGTAGTAAGGTTCTGTTTATTTGAACAGATTAGTGGATCTGTAGAGGAAGAAAGAAGGTTCATGTTTGCCAGAGTCTGAGGAGAGGAAGTGCTGGAGTGAGAAAGTGTTTAATCAGTAAAGTTTCCTTTTGGGCATTCCAATTGTTTCGAAAAGTAAAAAAGTAGTGATAAAACAGCATTGGGAATGTACCAAATATCACTTTAAAAAGATGAACTCTGTGGTATGTAAATTAATCTCCATAAATATAATTTTGATTAAATTTGATGAAAGAGCAAAGAACTCACAACTTCAGATCATTATATGAAGTTTTCCATAATTAATTGATTCTACTTGGAAAGTGAGTCAATTCAAAAAATCCTCACTGCAAAAGCCTTCTTTTAAAAATAATTGTTATTTTATGTGTATTCGTGTATTGCCTTCATGTATGTAAGTGTGCCGGTGTTGTGCAATGCCGGTGGAGGACAGAAGAGGCTGTCAGATCCCCTGGAACTGGAGTTACAGACAGTTGTTAGCTGCCATGTGGGTGCTGGGATTCGAACCTGGGTCTTCTGCAAGAAAAAGCCAGTGTTCTTAACCTCTGATCCATCTCTCCAGCCCCTGAAAAAGCCTTCTTAGTCTTAAGACAGGACGGGTGTCTACAGCTCAGCCAGGTTTGGGGACAAGGTGCAGGTGCCTGTGGTGCACTGCCTCACAGCACAGAGGTGCGGGGCTGAGTCACCAGGCTGAGCAGCTGCGATGTACAGAGCACTCTGTCTTGTGGATTTGCCCAACGAGGCTTTGAGTCTGCCGCTTGTTTGCCCTGATTTGACTGAATCGACAGCAGACCTGTGACCCTTTCCCCGGGGTCCTGCCTGAGCCACTGAAGCAAGTAAATGGCGCGTCAGTGTAACTACAGGTGAGAAGCAAGCTGTCTCCTCCCGGGCACTCAGAGCTGCGGGACTCTGCTTCACCTCCTGTGCACAGCGCACCTGTTTCAAAAGAGAACCAGAGGGTGTTGAGTAGAGACTCTGAGGTTAGTTGTGTATTTACTTTTGCCATCTCCACAGAAAGTCCCACGCAGGCTGAACTCCCGCTTTCTCTCCTCACTGAGATAGCGTCCTGTGTTTGCCCCCCTTTTGCCTGACGCCAAAACCCCGTCACTCACAGCCAAGTTGCAGCCAAAGCAGGAGGAGGCTCCAGGGTTTCTCCATTCCTTCTGCCACCCAGGCCGCGAGGACCAAGTGCCCAGAGAGAGGATCTGCTTTGTGTCTCAGTGCCCAGACATTTCCACAGTAAACAGCTCAGCCAATCACAGACACCATGTAACACACACACACACACACACACACACACACACACACTGAACTGCTGAGTGGGAGGTGAAAGTGGAGACACTGCCATCTCAAGGCCAAGCCCGGCATTGTTACAGGAAAGCTTCTCTTGCTTAGAACTTTTCTAGAAACACCCTGTAGGAATACATGTATAAAATTATACATCGTGTTCACTAACTTAAAAATTGATCAAGCATCCCTCAGGGCAGTGAATGCACTGCATTACAGTAGACCAGTCCTCTGTTCTAATACACAGTTGTTAAAAGGAATGAAGTATGCTAAATTTCTGACTTTCACAAATTTCTCTGACTTGATCAAATTAAAGAATTTTACACATAGTGTGACTCCATTTATGCTTTAAAACATGTTTATTCTGGTTTGTCTCCAACTGACCAGAAACAGTAGAAATGTGATTAGTAAAGCTTTAATAGCTATTGGGAACTTCTGAGAGGAAAATCAAAAAAGTTTCCATTTTATTATGACTGTTTACTTAAAATTGCTTAAATATTTAAATCTGTAAATATTAATATACAATCTGACCCATAACACAGAGCACTTAACTGGTATATTAGAAATCTTAAAGAAAAATTGAAATGAATATTTATTTAGATTTTCCTTTCTAGAAAACTTTTAAGATCATGCATTCTTTAAAAATTAAAAAAAATTTTATTTTATGTATATGAGTGTTTTGTGTGCATGTAAGTTCACCCATGCTGTGCAATGCCCAGAGTGGCCAGAGATGGCAAGAAGATAATTTGGAACTGCAGTGAGGGATGGGTGTTAGCTGCCAAGTGGGTGCTGGCAACCTAACCCAGGTCCTCTGTAAGAGCAGCTTGTGCTCTTAACCAGTGAGCCATCGCTCCAGCTCCATAGTATTGCATTTCTTAAATGTGTTTTCTGTAGTTGGAAAGCTTGAGAGAGTCCTGATAATCTCTGAGGACCAATGTTCACTTTACAAGCTTCCCATTGGCTCATTCGAATAACAGATGGGAGGAGAAGGGACTACGTCCAGGCTCCTCTTTCCTGCTCTTACTTCCCTGACCCAGACCTTGGTTTCAGGTACCTTTGCTTATTCCTTTTCCTTTCCTCCTTCTGTGAATTTTCATGGAGGGTTATCAGATGAATTGAGTCCACTTACATTCATGCAAAGACCTAACCCTTGTATCTCAGAAGGCATCCTTATTTGGAGATGGTGTCTTGATAGAGGCAATCAAACTAAAATGGTACCATGAACATGGACGTAAGCCCAGTAGAGAAGGGGACGTTGGGGACACAGACAGGTAGAGAGGGAAGACGATGTGAAGGATCTCAGAGAGAAGCTACTGCCTACGAGCCTAGAAGGCAGGCTGGCATATATCTTGTCATGTTTGCTCTCATAAGGAACCAAGCTTTCTAAAAACCCAATTTCAGACTCCACCCCCGAAACTTTGAGATGATATGTTCCTGTTGTTTAAGGTGCTAAGTTTGTGGTACTTCTTACAGCAGTACTAGGAATTTATCAGGTATGCTGCTGCCCCATTCCCTGAGGAAGTACCATCCTTAGAGAATGGACGAGGGCCAAAACTGCCTCAGACAAAGAATCTTGGGTGAGGTACAGTGACAAGCAGAGGTGATAGGTCACCATGTTTAGGGAGTCTCAACAACTCAAAGGGAGGTTTCTCCTGTCTTGTTATGTAGCCTTTAACTACACACATGGACACATGTGGTGGTATTGCATGTGTAATTTTTCAGTAGGTTTTTGAACTTATATATTTCCCTTTGGCTTTACACAGCAGCTAAGCATTATTTATTTCATCTTCTGCTCTTTCTGTCAAATTCTCCCTCCTCCATTCCCAGTTAAAGTATCCCCAATTTCCATATTTCATACTTGAAGGTACCTGGGGGACAAGTTTTATCAAGAGGGAAATGGGGAAAGCAGGGGCAATTTAACTGGGGAGGAAAGAGAAGGGGCTATACAGGGTGAGAGAGAGGAGAGGTAAATAACCCTTGGGTGGTATGATAAAATTGGAGAGAAATGTATTAGTTCAAAAGCCTATTGAAAATAAACATACTACACACACACACACACACACACACACACACACACACACAAATGCATGTGACTAGCTGAAGGCTATATAACAAAACCACAGGGCCAGGCTAGAGAAACAACACCTTCCTGTTGTTGGTCAGGATAGTCCAAAAGACTCCCCATATAACACAGGCTATTGCCACAGCCCTTGATTGCCTCCCCTGAAATGGAAGGTAAGAGCCTATTGCTGTGGACAGGATATACTTTAGTAACAGGACTTGGAGCAATCAAGGATCAGCAAAACTCCTTCCTGAGGACTAATGTTTCTTAACAACAGAGGATACTGTGCAAGCTTCCAAGAAAGAAAACCAATCAAATGTCCTACCCAGCTGTGAAGCCTAATAAACACAACAATGACCAGGGCAGCAAATTATCTGTTTTGGTGCAGTAGTGGCATTTTTATCTTTGGGGGAACCAACAGTTATCTAATTGGACTTAAAGCTCTCTCGACAGAGGGAACTCATGTGTGGTACTGTAAACAGCAAATACACATGGTTGGAAAGGTCATAGATTTTAGAGTAAAACCTTCATCCTGTGGTAAAATCTGCTTCCCTAAACTAATGTAATTTCTTACTGTATTCTCTCTCTCTCTATGAGAGAGAGAGAGAGAGAGAGAGAGAGAGAGAGAGATATCCTCATGTTTACAAAGTTTACCTCTCATCATGCATCAAAAAGCCTCTTTTTGCAACAGATGGAGGTTATTACAGAGTTCCACAATATGTCAAATGCAGAAAATAAGTGTCTAAGATGCCCAGCCCTAAGTGACACATCTACAATGCAACCTCTACACCCAAGATTCAGGGAATGTGAGGGAACAAGGAATAGAGAGACTATTAATGCATCTGTCAGCTTTCACCCGTGAAGCTTCCTCAGGAAATAGACGGTAGTTAACGGAGGAAGCCAGGACTGGCCAAAGTGCTGAGAATGAATGTTGCAGGGTGACTGGAAACAGAGTTCTCCGTGTGGCTGGAAAGTTTCTAATGAGCTTACAGCAATGGTGACAGCTAGCTCAAGAAGCATGCAGCTCACACCAGGCAAAAACCTTCATAGAACCTGGAAAATGGGTGAGAGGCATGAATCTTAGCTGAGAAACTACTGGGAACTGATAATTCCTGAAGAGGGAGAGTTGGTTTTCTTTAAGGGAATGATGCCGGATAGGTTGACCAGGCTCCAGTGAATGGACTTACACCAAGGGACTTTGGGGAATACAAACTTGGCTCAGTAGGCCTTAACATGTATGGCAGAATGTATGAAATACATTGGGGTGCTATAGGGGAGATGTGGATAAGGTCTAAAAATGATCAATATGTACTGCATGAGATTTGACATATTCAGTTAAAAAACAGTTTCAGGTT